TTGCATTGTGGTAAACTGTTGTCAATGACATGAGACAAAGTATATGTGAACTGCTGTATGGAAAGTGAATTTGCTCTGTAAATCTTCACCCAAATAAAAATAAAAATAAATAAATAAATAAAACTTTAACATTAGGATAAACTTTCTCTTCTGAAAGAGCCTGATGTGCTTTCTTTTTTCTAGTAATGACAAGGAATCAACCCTTTTTTGCCTTGGCTGTTCAGAAACGCAGAAGCAGATTCAAGGCTCAATTATATGAACAGCATTAGACCTTGGGCTTGCACAGCTTTCCTCCTTTTCTTGTCCTCATGTTTTATTACTCTCTTGCTAACCTCATTGTGCATATATCCTTCACTGTAAGCCACCTTAAAGCCCAGGCATTTGCAGCACATGGTATATGTTGACATGGGCTTCCTGCTGGGTCACCATGGGGTGGTCTGTATACCTCTACTGAAGGCTCCAGTTCTGTTATCATGATTCTGGTAACTCTTTCTTCCCTTGCATCCTCAGGCCTAGTGGAGATTCTGCAACATCCCTTCTTCATTTCCCTAAGCCCTGCCAATAATTTTGTAAATGATCCCTTTATTAAATTCTCCCTTACCCTGTTGATACTGCCATCTGTTTCTACCCAGGACCCTGGCTGAATGAAGCCAAGAGGAGCACTCTCAAAACAGGATTAGGGAATTGGGTTTCTTAGGTAGTTAAGGTGTGAGCAATGGAGCACTGGTAATCTAGGACACACTGTGGCATTAGGCTTATTCAAAGCCACTGGGAACAGGTGATCATGTGTTCAGTCATGGCATAGGAGACATATGGACAGGAAGACACAGCAATGGAAAATGAAATGGCTATGAAACAGTCATCATGGCAACAAGAGTGATTATAAAGATAAAAGAGATTAAATAAGCAAGCAAGTGAGCAGAGATGGGTTGATAGATGCCAGATACATGGAGATCTACAAGGAACCAGGAGTCATCAGGCTGCTTTTGATGGTCTTCCAGTGTCCATATAGGGCAAAAGACAAAGGAAAGGTAGTTACTGTTCATGGCAGAACACAGTGGAAGATGAGAAAGCCCTTAGAAAACTACCATCCCTGAAGTTATAGGGGAGAAATGGATGAAGCCAAGTCCTGCTCTGATCGTAAGGGTTGCCATCAGTGGAACTGCCAAACAAATGCTCAATCCTGTCCTCTTATTCTAAGGGCACTGGAGGAAAAAGACAGGGACCCTCAGATACAGGTTGACACAGAGGAAGCTGAGAATAGTAAACCTTCAAATGCCTCGTCTCTGTCCCCATGCAGCCTCTCCTGCATACATGTCTTTCAGTTCATGCATCTAGAGCAACTGCCGTGCAAGCTGATGATGTTTCTCCTCAGAACTTACCTTCACGCTCCTCATTGCTTCTATGCTCCAAAGAAGAGTGTGACCCCACACCATCCAAGTGGAAGTGCTAGGTCTGCTGGAAGAGGACATAGCTATATATTGGAAGCATGGTATGACCTCAACCATCCATACTGGCAGGAGCTGGGAGACTGCATAGTAGTGGACTCCAAGGGTGTCAAGAGGAGGAAGGACTATAAAGAATTCAGGATTTAATGTGTTGACTAGAGTACCTGGGATGGTGTTTGTCTCTGCTAGACTAGCCACCTGAAGCTTGGAGGGAAGGCAGCCTAAAGCCAATACCCCAAGAGGCTACTCTGTATGGACTACACACCTTGGCTCTCTGCAGCTCAGACAGGCAGGTCAGCCTCTTGTGCACAGAACAGAGTGAAGGGTGGACAAGAAGGGGCAGAGAAAAGAGACCAAGCACACATCATCACAACTGACCTGTGTTTTAGGTGAAAATTTGTTTCCATACAAGGACATAGACAATCACCAGCTCCCATGTCCTCACTGTAATGTCATGTCAAAGTCATCCTCTCATTGGTCATCACAGTGCTTTTCAGGAATTTTGGTGCCCCTTCACCAATGCCCTTTGTAATGCTCTGGTGAAGGAGTATCCTTCAGGCCATCTCAGGAGGGAAATTTTCAGGGATGGATGAGCAAGTTAAACAGAGTACATCTATGCAATATTTTTGTCTTCTGAGCCTTGAGACTATACATTCTAATGTCAAAGGAATTCCAGTTCACTGTGTTGACCGTAGGCTACACTGAGTCCAGGTTTCAGTTAGCAGCTCAGCAGATGTTAGTGCCACTACTAGGTGCTCCAGCTTCCAATGGGTTCAGTCAGTGGGAGGCACTGGAAGATTGGTGGGTAGGAGGAGAGTTACGTCAGAGTATATATTCTGGCTCTTACGTGCTAGGTCACTTTGAGTTGGTGCTCTCTCTACTGAAGGTCTGTCTGTACCAAAGCTCCTCTACAGCTTCTGAGACCTTCAGGCTTGGTTGCCCAATGTTGCTTGCACCGACTATCCCACTCTCCTTTGTTGGTTTCTCTCAACACTGTCTGCCCTTTGGTAAATAGCCTAGTTAACCAGTGTGAGTGTGCCAAGTTCCTGATGAAACCCTGACTGATACAAGACATTTCTTAGGATCTTGTGAAGACAGAACACAGATTTGTCAGAGCAAGATTCTTGACATTTGTGAGGCAATTCTCTTGACTGTAAATTTTGGGATGATTCTTATCAAGTGAGGCAGGCTTGATTGGGATTAGAGATTCCAAAGGCTCCAGGAGTTCACCTAACAATACCCATGAGGATGTCTAATATTTCTCTTGCAAATAGCAATTATTTCTTCCCCTCCCTGTATCTACATTCTTGCAGTGTGACTTTACAGCTCCTCCTGTCAAGAGGTGGAGTGTTCCTCCATCCTTTGACTCTGGGTGGCCTTATATGTTTTGGTTTGGCCAAATCTCTCAAGACTCAAATACTGTCAAATTACACACAGGTTGAAATAAATACATTATTACAACCTGTGTGTAATTACACTGTTGTTCAAGTATCCTGTTTCTGCCTCCCACAACACCCCTCCTCACAACTTCCCACAAGAGATTTTAAGCCTCATTTGATGAGGCTATTGTTTCCTTTATATAGTATATTACCAAAAGGGACAACCACACATGTCAGACCACAGTAAATGTTGACTAATTTATAAGCAGACCATTTCAGGTATTTTTCCAGCTAGTTAATCTGGAGGTTAGTATTTGTCCCTTCTGATCTCCACAGCAAATCCAACCTGTAAGCTCAGATTTAAAAAAAAAAAAGACCTTAAAAAATATAAAAACCAAAAAAGAATATGTGGCAGAGAAACTATAGGTTACTCACAAAGCCTAAAATGTTTACCATCTGGCCATTTAAGAAAAAAGTTTCCCACCTACTAAAAGTACCTCAACAAGAATGAATCCAGGTGCAACTGGGAATTGAGGCAATAGCTCTCAGGAACATTCTCTGAGACCTGTGAATCAGCTCTAGCAAGCTGTTTCTTCATCTTGTTAATTAAGCAACTACCTGCAAGAGCCTAATTTTGGCACAGACCTTGTGGATGAGTCCCAAAGAGTCAGCCAACTTTCAAGATCATGGCAGCCATTATAATTTCAGATGAGGAATAATAAGTATACTTATCAGACTGGGTTCTCTAGAGAAACAAAAAACAGCAAAGCTTATATATATATATATAAAGAGAGAGAGAGAAATTTACCTTAGGAAAATGGCTCACAAACGTATAGAAGCCGGCAAATCCAAAGTCCCTGGAGGAAACGTCGTGCTGGAGGCAGCCTTACCTTCCACAACTGCAGGGGGCCGAGAAACTCAAGGCCAGCAGGCAGTACACTGGCTGTTGACTCCAACGAAAGTCGAATCCAAGATCTCCAGGATGAATGGTGGGCTGCTCAGTCACAGAAAGTTGTAGGCAGCACAGCAGAGTCCCGATCCACAGAAGAAGGTCTCTCTTCCCAGGATGTCCCTTGATATCCTGGAAGCAGGCCACACCCCTAGGGAAACTCCCCTTGGGCAGATCGGCCACTCAGAACACAGTCATCCGATCCCATCACGGGAACAACCACACAGAACTGGGGTCCAGCCAAGTTGACACACAGCTCCAACTATCACATATACAAATAAGTCACAACAGTTGGAGATTGTGAATGACAAAAGCTGTTTAATGTTTGATAGATAAATTCAAGTTCATAAAGAAATCTCCTTGAATTTCATAAAGATGCTAAAAATGTTGTGATTTTTAATATTTACAGTGCCTTGTTTACAAAGTTCTGTACATAAAAATAAATATACAGAAACAAACCCCATCAACTGTTTATTATCAGTAATCCTCACTGGTGGGTTCACCATTTATAAGGAAGACATCATTCAACGCAACCTGTCACAGAGACTTGTTCTATCAGCAAGGATTTCTACTTTAAAAGATCATCACTAGGCCAATCTTCTCAAGATTGTTAATCATCTGGAGGGCTTTACATGCCAGCCAGCAATTCACCTGGAAATTAACAGAGGCAGTCATCATCAGCAAGTGGAGTGCAACCACTGGCCTAATGCCTAGTTGCACTGTCTACACCTTTTGCTAACTTAAACCTTTAAATATGCAGATACAGGTAAGAACAAAAATAACCCCCACCTCCCTGTGGCTAGTCACTGTGAAAAGTGTGCGTGAGGCAACTGACTCAGGGTTCAGGGTTCATCTTGTTAATGTCAGATGACACTAACAAGCCTCTTAGCCTCATCCACCAGAAGATGGACCTCGGCGCCCAGGCCTCCAGGAGCACGAACCACCTCCTTCACCAGACAGAGGGTTGTAACCTAGGATGACAGAAAAGGAATGCTTATCTACAGTGAAAACCTAGGAGTGCTTTACATCAAAAATAAAATTATGAGCTTGACATGCAAAGCACTACAGATATGGATTTTCAAAGAAGTTTTTATAAAATGTTTAGCCACCATATGGGGGAAAAAAATTTTATACAGTGAATGCAATTTGAATTGACGTCAGTGGGAAGAAAACAAGCTGTTCAGATTCTTGGTCCTAACTTTCCAAAATATACAAAACTCCCCCAAAACACACTGAAAAAATTTGCCAAAGACCTCTGAAAATGGCCCAATTTAAATACATGAGGGCTCCTACTGTAGTGCTTAATGAAATTAGAGACATTCAAGTAAGGGTGGTTCAAGCTACAAATACTAGGGGGAAAAAAAAAAAGCACAACAGAATGTAACTTGCCACTTGTAGCATGATCATAACTAGGCAATCTGCATTCTCCCTACCCTGATTCATAAGCTTCCCAAAGTGGTCAACTTTGGGGACTTGGGGGAGTGCTCAGGCTCTAGTCAGCCAGACCTTAAATGAGACGCAGGGTTGCTTCTGACTTGCTGTGGGAACTTTGGGCAATGACTCTGTGTCTCAGTTTCCTTATTGTACAACCAGGCTAGTCCCAGCCCATCTCAGGACTGTGTGAAGCACTGAAAGAGGAAGTGCACATATGCCTGGTAAGCATCCCATCTTCTACAATCTGCACTCCTCACTTATGTTTCAATGATTGCTTTGAAAATAGACTTCCAGCAAGACAAAGTTTTGGAGTCGAGTTTCTTTCAGACACCTCACTCCTCTATGCAAGCCTGCTCTCCTTTCTAACACAAAATGAACTGGAGCTCAGTACTTAAGGCCAGCCACAGCCTGTGCCTACACTAACTCAGAGCCCCCGACCATGTCCGTCAGGCCAGGCTGCCTTGTGATGGCTAAAACCTCATCAAGCAGTCCAGGTCTCGGCCTTTGCAGGGTCTCCCTACAGAAACACTCTCTCCTCAATGGAGAGAAAAAAAGGCTTTAGCTAAATTAGTTCCTACATAAAGTATCCTGGAATCATTCTCTGCATTCTCCCTCCTCAGGTTTACTTGGAACTCCCGGCCAAAATCATAAAGGATTACTTATTTCATTTGTGTGTGATCCAATCTTCCCAAAGGGATACATAAACCCTCCCAATAGGATTAAGGATGAAGACAGACCCACCAGCACAACACCTGTGGGGCCTAGGCAGGGCTGCACACAAATGTGAGGGAGAATTTGCTCATTTGTCCTTGAGAAAGTTGTTTGCAGGAAATAAGAAAGGTCTGACTGAAAAGACAAAACACACTGTTCTAGCCTCTTGGCATTCATCTGCAAAACAGGTATACTATTCTTGTCTTACTGACTGACCTCTCAGCTTACACTGCCATTGTGGAATCAAGTGAGAATATGAAAATACAAACCCAACCACTCAAGGCAAGGCCTGCGTGCCTCAAGTTTCCCTTACTTACTTTCCCTTACTTAATCCTCACAGTCCTAAACTCAGAAATTAATCTCAATTTACAGATGGTGCAACAGAGAAACAGAACCTTGTTTCTAAAGTAAAGTGTATCTTGTAATTGACTGTTCAGAATCTTTTCACATTAGGAGTCAACTGGCACTTACCACCTCCCCGCAACAGCTTTCTATCAGGTTTACGTTTCAGGGGAACTGATGAAGTGGAAGGCCTAGAGCTGTCTTCTTCCTGTTAGAACATACACAGGTTTAAGAATCTATTTTAAAAATTCTACTTGAAAAGTCTTCACCTACTTGAAAATAGTCAAACAGGACTAGGTCCACAGGTACCTGAGGCTTTCTGGTATTTCCTTTGTAGCTTTTTCCTTCCTGCATGCTGTCCCACATTTCAATCTTCTGTCTTCTTTTCTCTTCTTCAAGCTGGAAAAGAAATGCACGTGGCACAGAATGAATTCATACGGCTGTCATCTTCCTCAAAGAAAATGCTAATTTTGACATCTCTGAATTTAAATGTCCTTCAAAACAAACCTTCACCTGCATTTTCCTCAGTTAATAACTCTGTGAGCTGGTGGTGTGAGTTTAATGCACAAACAGAACCTTTAGTTTGTACCAAACCAAACCAAACTCACTGTCGTCAAGTCGGATCTGACTCATAGTGACCCCTCCCTTGGGTTTCCAAGATGGTATCACTATGGACATAGATGAAAGCAAAAAGTGTCATGCAAAGAATAGATTTAGTTCTTCTGAAAAGGCAACCAGGAAAGAGGGTAGGAATCTTCTTATAGTGATATTTTTGGCAATATGGTATAACAATACCACCTTGCAACAAGTGGGCATAGTTATGCTTCCATCCTCCTACCTGGGGAGTCACAGAACCCCTCTGCTGCTCAGGGCTGTGAGGACCAGATGAGAACAAATTTACAGTGCATTGAAAAGTGCTGTGGAATATTAAGGGATATACTTAATATTAAGGGATATACTTATCCCTTAATATTCATAGCACTTTTCAAAACCTCAGCAGAAGATCATGTCCAACTATGAGCTCTTGAACTTTGTAATCATGTAATGAAGAGATTACCAAAACAGAAAAGAAACATCATTTTGTCCTTTGCTTCTCTTCCTAATCCTGGAAAAATGATGCTCCTCCCAGCAACTAAGTACCACAACCTACGTACAATTACAGTTCACTTAAGTTTCTGTTTCCAATGGAATTGAGACCCCAAGAGCAGTTCATTTTGGGTCCAAATAAACCATGATGTCATTAAGGATATGTGAGAAAATGCTTTAAGTGCACACATCTATTCCCCATGGGAGTGAGTTGTTGGGCCCATGGGCTCAGGACCATGGTAGCAGGGGACATCAAGCTCATTGGCATTAACATAGTACACAAAGACACTATTCTACATACTACTTCGGTAAGTAGCAACTGGGGTCTTAAAAGCTTGCAAGAGGCCATCTAAGATGCAACAATTAGTCTGTTCTTATGCAGAGCAAAGAAGAATGAAAAAAAAAAAAGACACATGGAAGCAATTAATCCAAGGGACTAGTAGACCATGCGAACTTCAACCTTGGCCTACATGACCCTGAAACCAGAAGAAACAGATGGTGCCCGGCTACCACTGTCAATCACTTGGAAAAGGATCAAAACAGGAGATCCTGGATAGAGTGGGAGAAAAATGTAGAACAAAACACATGCATACCCCTCAACAAGCATTCTTACCTACCATCACTCAATTTCTCAAGACAATTTAGCCAAACTAAAACTGTTTCATACCTGTCTTAATTTTTGTTTATGCTTCTCAGCTTGTGCATTTAATTCTTCTTGCATTTTCAAACGAGCAGCTGCTAAAGCCTCTTGTCGTTTAACAACAACATCAGGTTCTAAAATATCAGAAAAAAATTGACATAAAACGCTTTGCGTAGTATCACTATGGAAGTAGATTGCCCAACCTTCCTTCCGAGGAGTGGCTGATGGGTTTGAACCACCAGCCTTCTGGTCAGCAGTCAAGTGCCTTAGGCACTACGCTACCAGAGCTCCTGCCCATGGAAGTAGCGATCAAGAAATCAAATGACATGGTGCATTTGGCAAATCTGCTGCGAAAGACCTCTTTAAAGTGTTAAACAGATTTCATTTTGAGGACTAAAGTAAGCCTGACCCAAGCCTTGGTCTTTTCAATCACGTCGTATGCATATGAAAGCTGGACAATGAATAAGGAGGACTGAAGAAGAATTGATGCATTTGAATTATGGTATTAGCAAAGAATACAGAATATACCATGGATTGCCAGAAGAACAAACAAATCTGTCTTGGAAGTACAGCCTGAATGCTCCTTAGATGGGAGGATAGCATGACTTCATCTCTTGCACTTTGGAAATGTCATCAGGAGGAACCAGTCCCTGGAGAAGGACATCATGCTTGGTAAAGTAGAGGGTCAGTGAAAAAGAGGAAGACCCTCAAAGAGATGGACTGACACAGTGGCTGAAACAATGTTCTTAAATGTAGCAATGATTGTGAAGATGGCACAGGATCAGGCAGTGTTTCATTCTGTTGTACAATGTTTTGTTCTGATGCTGAGTCAACCATAACAACAATAAGAAGAACTTGTGAGACACAATGGACATGAGGAGTGGGGGTGGGGTCGGGGCAATTAAATGTATTGTAGACAGAGGAAAAAAAACCACTTTGCATGATTTTTAAAATACAAAATTCTTGAGTGCCCATACTATTATAAAATATAAATTGATTCTACATGAAGAATTCTACCCCTTCTGCAGGTATTTTACTAGTAAGAGGACAAAGGACTATGCCAGCCATCATTCTTAGTCTTAACTAAGCACCTGCACATCACCAGAAACCTCTGTTAGAAAAGCAGATTTCTGGGTTCTCCAAAGGATTTCCAACAGACAATCTGGAATAAGGCCCCTGTGACTAAAGTATAAGTAGCCTGTTGGCCACAATGAGATTCCAGCCCACAATGCTAATACCTCATTAGCACCCAGTCTCTACATGGACCAAAATACCAAAAAACTAAGAAAAGTTCAAAGTTTTCTGGATAATTATCCATCACTGTTAGCCTAGACCTACATCAGAACTAGACCTACATCAGAAAAAGATATGGATTCTCAGGTAATTTATCCATTTTCCTACAGAGAAGGAAGAAAAATACTTCCAGCTAGCACTAAAAATAAACACAAGTGTCCCAGCTTTATCTACATTTTCATCTAGTTTGTAAAAACAAGCAGAATGACTATAAATCCCTGTAAAGTTCTCCATCTGCTCATCTATTTTGATTGCTGTTCTGACGACCCTGGCAAATGTACAGTAATGTGACTAATTATTTAAACAAAGAAACAAACTAGAACTTCTATAAAAATACCCTCCAAAGTACAGATATCATTATGTGCAGATAACTAGCACTGGAAAAAGGTGACTTAACTGAATCCACATAAAATAGGGAAATAGGGACCAAAATATCACAATCAACATAGCATATGTGTGTGCATGTGTGGTGGTGATAGAGATGCCTAGAATTTTATCTTTTTTTTTTTTTTTTTTAATTGTGATTTGGGTGAAGATTTACAGAGCAAATTCACTTTCCATACAGCAGTTCACATATACTTTGTCTCATGACATTGACCACAGTTTACCACAATGCAACAGCTCCCTTCCCACTTCCTCCCCACAGTTACCTCTTCCCTGTGTCCATCATTCCATGCATTCCTGCCCCCTGAGCTGTCTCCCTGTGCATAAGCAGCCCTTCTTTCTCCCATGATTGTTCTCTCCAAGGAGTTTATCTACTTGAGGAAAATGTTCAACTCATATGCCTGTCTTTTGTTTGGCTGGAAACCACAGGTGTTGAGTTCATAGAATTTTATCTTTAAAATAAAATTAAATTAAAAATGAAAAGGTTGTTGATTAACATGTGTAACTGTTGAGTCATTCTTAGAATAAAATCAACCAAATATAGATTTTTTTTTAACCTAATTTTTCTAACAAAATTGTACAACAGCACAATTCACTTTTTGCAATGCTTCATAAACATTAATTCTGCAATAGTCAATTTTGCCAAGATCTCTCTCAAATAATTCTCTTTTGAAGTACCCATTCCATCACCATGATTTTGAGATTCCACTTCAGGTGTTAGCTGGTCTTATTCTGCCAGAATTTCATTTGTAGAGACGGTTGTAGGAAGTAGCTGAAGCAGTTCTCCAATCCTACTGTCATCTACATCATGAAATCCTACATTTTGTGCAAGATAGACAAGTATACTTTGCAGTTCATTGCTGGAAGTACAGTCCACAAAAACTGAGAAAATGGAGAGACCACAGGGCTTCATGGGAGAGAAGAGAGGTGTGTTTGAGGAAACTGATTTTCTACATCTTTCCATTAATGGCTATTTTTAAGCTATAACGTTTGCTTCCCTACTGAACCTCAGTATACTTAGGACTCAGATGAATAAAGACATATCTGCTTTATTATGCTGTTATTCTCAAAACATTTAACATTTCTTTTAGATATGTCCTCAGACGCAGTAGCTTCTATATAGTGAAAAGGTTACCCTTTCAGAAAGAATGAATTTTTGAAACAGTCAAATGTATTAGACCAACAAATACAGAGTGCTGCACAGTTTTCATTTTAATCCCATCTATAAATGGAAAAAACATTCAACAAGATATGCCCTCAGTGGGTTACGCACCATCAGGCAGGTTTCCATCTCATTAAAATCTCTGAAACTAAAACATAGAAATCTATTGCACACTCACCAAAATCAATTTCAGAAGCATAAAATGATTCTTCCCCACACAAATCAGAATCATGCACTTCTCACTCTTAATAACAAACTTTTAAATATTAATAGAATTAGGTGTCAGAGATACTGCCATCCTTTCTGTCCCCAAGCACTAACCCATAACAGCCGGGTCTCGGTCCAACTGCCTTTGCCTCAAGGCCCTCAGCCGGGCAGAAAGTTTCTGAATCACCACGAAGAGAAGGATACCGCTGAAGACGATGTACCAGCCATACGTGGCCAGCAGGGAGCCCACTGAAAAGAAGAAAGCAGTTTTTCAAGAGACTAAAAAATGATATTGCTAGTTGACTTCTCCATAAATTTCAACAGAGATAAAACAAGCCTAGCTCCTGCTCTCAACACATCACATTCTGGCTGCGATGGCCTCCTAAGTGGACAGTTAAAATATGAAGTGCAGCAAATTAGGGGTCACGGAGAAGCTTGTCAATCATTTGGGGAGAGCTGGGTTTTGGAAAAGGAAGAATAGTTTATCTGTCCCAAGTAGGCAAAAACTTTCGACCTAGAGAACCACACACAGAAAGCGGTGGACTTGGGAAACCAATACAACACTCGTGTTAGGAGTGTGTGTGGGTGGATGGGTAGAGGCTCTGGAGGCCGCGAGGCTTTGGAGGCAAACGGCAAGAACTGGGTGACCGGGAAAGGTTTCTCCGCACAAAGTAAAGGACCCGCCCAGGGAAGTGAGGATCCGGATGGACAGCCTCCCGGGGCCTGACTGCGGCGCCGACGCCCAGCGCAGGGGCCGCCAAGGGCTGCCCGAGGCTGGTCCAGTGCTTAGCTGGAAGGACGACTCACCAAACATGGCGACGTGCCGGGTGAGCCAGGCAGCGCAAGCCCCTTACTCACCCGTGACGTGCAAGAAGCGCAACCCCTCGGTCTCCAGGGCTGGCCGCGCGGAGAGCTGCTCTTCATCCCGCTCCATGACTGCGGCTGCAGCCGCTGGAGCTGACGCGTAGCCTGGAGCTCCTTGCCTTCCGGCCCACCCCGACGTACACGTGGCGCGCCCGGACGCTCCGTCTGCTCAGCCAATCGCCGCTCGACCCGACTCTGCTGCTCGGCCTATCGCAGAGGGGGTGTGGCTAGTAGGCGGGGAATCAAGGAGGGGGCGCAGAAAAGAGCTGGGCGAGAAGGGGGTGGAGAACTTGCCTCTGCCAAATCAGGGTCTTGAGCTGGTGCTCTGCGTGTGTTTTCACAGCTGTCCTGAGGGAGGCCCGTAAGACTGACGTCTTTATACTGACTTTTTGCCTCTTCTTTACTGATTGCACACTGAGACTAAGGAAATTACGGCTGCCTAGAAACAGGATTTGCGCCCACAGTCTGGCTCAGTGCCCATTGAGCAAAAAGGCTGAGCTGGTTGGCTACACTACACTCCATACCCGGAATGGTATGGAAAATGAAATATTGGCAAAGTCTCTTCCTGCTGCCAGTGTTATTTTTCGAACTAAGAAAATGCCCAGCAATCCTCAAGATACTCCTCCCTTCCAGAATCAAAACCTCTTGGGAGAGAATAGTCATAGTAATGGTTCCAACATGTATTGAATCTCACTACGTGTTGTCACAGAGTTATTTATAACTCTGTGCTGGCTGTTTCCTCCACTCTCCATTACTCAGATGTCACCACCTCTATGTCGCCTACCTCAACCACTCGATCTGAAAGTGCTTACGGTCTCTTTTTGCAGTCCCCTGATCTTGCTGTTTTTCATACCTCCGTGACCTTCTAACATACTATTTACTCTGCTTGCTGTGCTTAGGGTTTATTGCCTGTCTCTCCCACCTGTGGAAGGAAAGCACCAGAAGGGAAGGGGGTGTTTGTTCATTCATGCCTAACCCAAGCTCTCAGGAGCAAAGCCTGCCACAGAGTGAAGCCTCAATAAATAATTGTTGAGTGAATGAAGGTAATGAAAGTAAAATGGAAGTAAACTTAATTATGCAACAACAGTGGAATCGTTTTTTATGTTAAAGCTTAGTTATTACATTTTTATTTGCTGTGCTTTATTAAGGGAGCTCTGGTGGCGTAGTGTCTAAGGCATTTACTGGTAACCAGAAGGCTGGTGGTTCAAATCCAACAGCCACTCTGTGGAAGGAAGGTTGGGCAATCTACTTCCATAGTGATACCACCTCGGAAACCCAAGGAAGGGTCACTATGAGTTAGATCTGACTCAAGGGCAGTGCGTTGAGTACTTTATTAAATATGTCATTTTATAGAGTAATTTTTGTAAAAATAGGTAAGTGTGTTGGATTGGGTTCTCTAGAGAAACACAAAAACCAGCAAAGTATATATATATATATAT